TCACGCCATACACCAATAATGTTTCAAGAGCGATTTCTGTACAAACAACTTTTGTCATAAGGAAGTGCAAGCGGTGATGCATTCTCAAAACATTCATTATTATCACATCAACATTGATTGACTACGATGTATCTCCCAAGTTTTAAAATCGTAAATGAAGTTCCCCTACTTTTTAAAGAATATATATCCATGCAAGTGTCAATGATGTGTTCATTTACATATCACACGGTATGCATGTATACACAACTCTAGTTTTTACTGGCGGCAACATTGGCCATAGTACAACTGCAGGCCGATGAAATAGACATTTGATATATATTTGATACCATTTGACAACCATGTATGCACTTGTGCATATGGCTGACATGTATACAGTAATATTTGAAGGTTTTGATAGACATGTACGTATTTTTTATTTCAGTTTATATTCAATACATGTTTCTGTTCACATTGACTGACATTGTTCTATCTTATTGCTATTCTTGGATCTTTTCCAATCGATATATTGTGAAAAAACAGAAGTTAACAATAAAACACAGCTTCATATATTTTCTTCCAAGATAAGTTTCACATGACTCATGCTTGGGTCCTTGTTTTTACGAATTTGTTTACATAAAAACATGTTTACATAAAAACGTGTGATATTAGTGACGCGCAAAACATAGTTGTAGTTCACTAGTATACAGCAATGACGTGGTGGAAATTAGGTCATGTGACGTCACACCCAAGTACGTCCATATCGCATTAGTTGGATTAAACGTATTTCGTTGAAATGAAGGTATTCGTCATAGCAAGTCACACATGTATTTCAAACAAAATCAATTGACTATATTACAAGAACGTTTGAATTATAGATTGTGTTTGTGACTGCACCGTGGTACCGGCTGACGTCTCAATGATTGACCGATCCTTAATGTGATCGGTCGGTCTTTTATGATGCTGCCGAAGCCAGGTCTGAAATCCATGACATCAAAATCCTAGGATATAAAACAAATCGTTCCTCTGTTTTCAAGACAGCAAGTGATCTGTCCACATCATATATGCCCGAGGCTACCTGTTTAGGGGATGGATATGTAGTAATACATGCGTAGGGCACATAAACCCTCGCCACTCACACGTCACTCTCCGCCAGCTGTCAAAAAACATATCTTTCTTCGGGCCTATAAAAGATCGGCTTCCAATGGTTTGAAAAAGAACCCGCACTCTCCTTGAAAGAAAACCGTGTGAAAAAAGGAAAGCTCAGAGAACTATTGACCAAGAGAACACAGAGGAAGGAACAAGAGAATTTCACCATGACTTCCTCAATGTCGATAACTTTTGTTGTCTTTTTCACTTTTGTTATCGGGGAGGTCGTACCTGTAGTAGCTCCAGGCATTGGTGGCAAAGAAAACTTCATCGTCTCTCGCATATGCTTCGACGGTAACCACCGAGCGGTGAAGGTTGGCCAACAGTGGCAGGACAGGTGCGTGAAGTGCTTCTGCCACCCCACCCAGGGCAGTGTCTGTAAGACCCCCAAGTGCGCCATTCCTTACAAGCCGTACCACAACAAAACCTGCGCTAAGGTAATTCCCCTAGTTATATACACATCATTTGGGTTTCCGTATTAAGGTTTGATATTTTGGAAAACAACATGATTCTTTTAAATATTCTTATCAATATTTTAAAACTTTGATAACCTTTACATCATGTGTTTAAAATGTGATATAAACTTGTGTCCGGCACTTTACACGAATTTTCATTTCGTAACACTTATTGGAAACTGAGAAAATGAAAGGAGCTTGAATATTGTTTTATGCACATTCCGGCGCCTTCGTCTGTGTACATTTTAGAACATTGTAAAAAGTATATAACATTGCGCCCTCTAAGAGTTATTTGATATAATGTATTATCGAAATATACTTGAATGTGTTGATCTGTCTAATTATGTTTGTAACGACCTAAAGAATACAGAGTTGTAATACATGTGTCCTCCGTGTAGTGGTCATCCAATGGTTGCTGCTGTGAAGAGCTCGGGTGTCCAACAGGCGACACAGTTTACCAGATCGGTCAGTCCTACCCCTTCCCACCCGGGGACCCTTGTGGTCAGTGCTTATGTGAGGTGGACACTGACCACCCTACTTGTACAAGGAAGATCTGCTTCCCGCCTGTTTGTGTGGACAGTGTGCTCATCCAAGGGGAATGTTGTCGAAGATGTCTCAGGGGTAAGCACCATTTTGTCTTCATTTTACCAATTTACATACATACTATTGGCACGCCAGAATATATTTTGTTCGAAAGTCCCATCCGGGAATAAATACCCACTGTCACACTGAGGCACCGTATCGCCACCGCACAAAGTTAGCGATCTAACCCACTCAGCCATCGCATTCAAAACGGAAGTAAGAAAACTGGCCTCGTCACGTATTTTTCTATCTTTGTGACAAGTGTTTACTGGTTGGAATCTCGCACGAGGGTTTAACCCCCAAAGTAATAGAATTGTGCAGTATGAAAGATGGGAGTTGGTAGAATATTGTTTTTCATAAAGGGAGATTTGACTACAGCAAAGTTAAAATCATTACTCATGTTACAGTCGCGTAGATAGACACAGGTTTAGCTTTGTCTGAGTCTTGAACCCCTGTCTTAATTGTCACCAGGGCCCAACTGCCGATACCCTGCCATGCCTGGAGTGGGAACTGCCACCAACCGAGCGTTAAGAACCCCTCTCCTTCTCAGCACCTCCAACCTCATACAGTCGGACGAAAATCCCTTAATGTTCTACGAGTGCAGATGTTTGGTAAGTGGGGCAGCACTATCACTTCAACAGTTACCATAGCAACACATTTGGGAGTGTGCTTTTCACACACGTGTGTTTGTAATTTTGTTTAACGCTGCACTGAGCTTCTATAAAACGGCTGTCCGTAAATACCAGGCGCATAGCAAGACATGTTTTTTCGTGTAAGCCCGATATTTTGGACAGCTTTACATGTAGATAGTATTGAGGACATGCCCAACTTTCATTTTCAAAATCATGTGTAAGCCCGGACTTTTTCTCACGATGATGACGCACCTGGCTCTTCCACGAATTGGATGAAGATGACTCTTCTGACCCGTAAACCCGGTGGTGCATACAATATATTTGCTGTAAAATTACAGCTAGAAGGCGCCGTCACTTATTGATACTACTGCACATGCTAATCATTCTTATATTAGTTGTATTTTCAAATGGTCTATCATATAGATATGGTAAAATGTATGCATTTGCTCTCTCTACAGATTCCCGGCGGTGTTGCGTTCTGTCGGCCGAAGCCTTTCAAATGGCTTCGTTGAACATGAGAATGTACGTGTGATGTGCTTCAAGAAATCCAGTCACCGTTTCAAAAAAAGATGTGAAGACTCCAATCTCATGTCAAGAATGTCGGACAGTGCGGAGTAGTTGTTTGTATTTTTTAAAGTAATGACAAGTATAGTGTATGAATGAAATACGTGTAGCTTTTTGTATGAACCTAAAGTATACAATAAATATTGAAAACAAAGTTGCATACCGTTTATCGGGCATGGGAAATTCAGTTTTGTCGTAATCATTTAGCGACAAGGCGTCAGAAGGGAAGCAATACCCTTTCGTTTTGTATTAAATGTCCTAAGATCGACAATTAAACCTTCAGTGTATGGCTCTGGGATCTCTCCCTTCCGTAGTGCAACAGACTGGCGTTGCGTGTGTCGATTGGTGGCACTTTGAACAGTAGTCAAGCGACATCCCAACGGGTCCGCCATTGTGGGAGGAAAGCCCGAAGTGGTGAGGCTCGTCATAGTTTACCGATTTGGTGAAACCCACGAACGCGGGTAATATAAGTGTTCACAAACCTAGAAACACCACCGTGGCGAGGCCACGATCACAGGGGTCTGGGTGCGGAAGGTCCGTGCACAGCCTTAGAGTATACCCACAGTTCCAGGATACGTCCTCAATACATGTGAGGTGAGGTGAAATTGGGTTTAACGTCGTGCTTGAGAATATTTCGCTCATATGACGACGTGCATGCGTGTGTATGTGTAGGTGAGGCTGCTTGTACTAGCCCAGACTCAAGCTGGTTTTACTGAGATACCATGCCGCAGTGAAGCATGAATACCCCACTCAGACACATCATACTGACTCCGAGCCGACCAGTCCTTGTTGTACCCATTAATGCCGAGCGCCAGGCAGGGACCAACAAGTACCATATTTTAACGTCTTTTGGTATGACGCGGTCGGGGATCGAACCCGCGACCTTCCGCTCTCCGGGCAGACGCTCTAACCACTACACCACGGAGGCAGTCCCTCAATACGTGTTCAATACACGTGTTGCTCAGTGTATATCACGGCATCTGTGTCGGCCATCTGCATCTGTGTCGGTGATCTGCATCTGTGTTATTCGCCCGTTTAGTGATTATTTATAATCCATATTATTCCAGATATTGTATAAATACATTAATTATTATGCAGTGTGATGTTGAACAAAATTAATGCTTTCACAATGCTCCCTCAAAGGAATATCGTTGATGTACTAGTATCCTACAAATTGAAATCATCGCGATGCAATGCACAAAAATGATGTTTGCAAGCCATGGAACTTCAAAGTGAGGGTTGAAGAGCAATGGCATCTAGTCCCTGTGATCGTTCCTACCACACAGGTAAAATCTGTGAGAAACGATATGAAGCTGACAAACATATAATATTAATCAGGGATTCGAACCGAAACCATAAGAATCTGGCCGCCCAAGGGAAGCAACTCTGTGGAGCAATTTTCGGCGCCTCACATGACGGGTCCTCCAATGCCCATCATTAAGTGAGTGAGTAAGGTTTTACGCCACTTTTAGAAACATTCCAGCAATATCACAGCCGGGGAAACCAGAAATGAGTTTCAAGTGAACCCATGTGGGAAATCGAACCCTGGTCTTCAGCGTGACGAGAGAAAGACTTGAACCACTAGGCTACCCCACCGCACATCATATGACTTGGACATAAATATAAAACAACACACACAAAGTTGATTTCTTGGAAGCATGGTAAAACAATGTATTAAGGATAGTTCTTTTATACAAGTATCATGCTTTAAAACAAACACAAAACCTGTCGACTTCATCACAAGAAGCAACATATATCCATTTATAGTGCGGACATTCACTCTCGTCGCGATTAGCTTGATAACTCGAGATGTGGTTTTGACTCGCCATTCCACTCAGACAATACTATCACGTATCATCAATATAAAACCAGTCATTGGATTGGTGTGCACTTGACATTTGTCCTTAGCTCGGTCTCCATGGTATTTCTACATTCATATATTTATCATTTTTCACTAATATTCTCCTTAATGCACAAGTACCGATTGTTAGAATGCTAACAAAATGACAATAGGCTAAGCAGTACCTATACATTTCACTAACTGAATTTACATAATTTCAAATGTTAATAATATAATAATGTCAATTTAATCATGTGGTCCCAATATAAATATATGTTGCCATGGGAACGTGTGTTCTTAAAAAATGGCACATTATTTAATAATAATACGTAGATAATTAAACATATTATTAGTACATACGTTAAAATTTGTTAATTAGAATTGTCAAAGGGATGTCATTGTTAAAGGTTTTCCGTTTAAACATTGATTTTCTCCTTGTCCTTGGTTCCCGTTTTACAACTTTGATCGAGTGTTTTTCTCCATGTCTCGAAGTATTCTTCTGAGGATCTTGCCGCTGGCGCTCTTTGGAATCTCTTGAAGAAAGGTCACTCCTCCCCTCAGTCTTTTGGTCCCTGATACTTTACCTGCAAGGTGGGAAGTCATGGACTGAAACACTTGCTGCTAAAATGATTCCCCGCTCTAAAGTTGTATTCTCATTTCTACATTGTTACCGCCACATGTCAAGAGTTGAGATTTAACACCCTGTTTTTGTAATTGGTGTACCAGCAGAGGGACGGACAATTAGCCCATCGGGGTAGTGAAACTTTATATACATGTTTTCGTCCAAACTAGACAATATTCAGGCATTCAGGTACATTAAAACTGTTTAAATAAGGTAACATGTATTTCTTCAAACGAGCTTTATCAGGCAGCATGTTTGCTTCTTGAAACTTCCCAAGAAAATATAGCCATGGGCTATTGCGAGTCACCGTTCCCCTATGGCATTGGACGTGTTCTTCATATCAGTCACTGGCTTGTCCAGATACGATTATATAAAGACTGACTGAGTTTGGCTTTACGCCGCTTTTAGCAATATTCCAGCAACATCACGGCTGGGGACACCAGAAATGGGCTTCACACGTTGTACCCATGTGGGGATTCGAACCCGGGTCTTCGGCGTGACGAGCCAACGCTTTAACCACTAGACTACCCCACCGCCCCGATTATATAAAGAGACAGCCCTGATATAACGGCGGAATGTTAAGTGCAGAGCTATAACAATAAACATCAAATAAAAGAAAAGACAGACTCCCAGTTGTACGTAAAAATGGTGTTTCCTACCTTTCACAAAATCTTGCAGTTCTTGTTCTGTTGTCCTTGACCCCGGCTTCCTGACAACAAACGCTTTGGGCAACTCTCCTGCCTCCACATCCGGGATACCGATGACACCGACATCTGCCACGCCGGGGTGACTCAACAGCATGTCCTCCAGTTCAGCTGGCGCCACCTGGTGAGGAAATGCATGTCCAGGAAGGATGAATGGGAACAATCCCGTGTACAAAGACAGAGACCACCTTACTGGTCGTCACACGCCCCGCCCAGAAGACGGGGATTAGTTACAGCGAACATTTTCTGTCATTTCCCCCAAAAAACAAATACATTGCAAATAGTCACAAACGTCCAACTGACAGTCCATGACACGTAAAGAATTCTGGAAAAAAATTAATGTGTTTGTGAAAGTGAAAACCATGTCTAGCTCAAATGTGTTTATTCCATTATGGATGTAACAGATTCAAATCGATCTCTTTCAGTGTCGTTTCACTCTAGGCTGATTTGAGCTGAGGTTCATGGCTCTTCGCCTCTTTAGAGCAAACTTTGATGATACGGATAATACGGATGCAAAATTGGTGATGCGCGCGGCTTTTAGTAATATTCACTCACCAACTCAGCCTAAGCTCAGGCCACTCCCTGTACTATCTGTGCGCATAACTCGATGTACCCATACGTTAACAGTCAGTGAGTTTTATGCCGCTTTCAGCAATATTCCAGCAATATTACGGCGGATGAAACAAGAAATGGGCTTCAAACCTAGTTTCCATTTGGGGAATCGAACCCGGGCTTTGACAAACGAGCGAAAGCTTTAAACACCAGGCTACGTACCCCACCGCCCCAATACATCTACATCCTCCTCCGATCAGATGAGGAGACAGCTACTGAGGCGTGAAACAAGCTTTCACATATAAACGTCACCATGATACATCATTGTTTACAAGGAGTCGTCTTCCCCAGATGACAAGCACATTCACGTACATACATCGTACATGGTGATGTTTGTGATTTAACGAGCGCTTCCTGTAAATCGTGTATCACACTCGGCTGTAAAGACAGCTAACGGTGAAAGACAGCCTTTAATAATAGTCTCGGAGCGGCATTATTTTACCTTCTTACCAGGTTCAGTATCTCCTATCCCACTGGGGCTTCTTTCCAATTTAAAAGGAGTCACTTGTTTCTATCAAAATAATACATATAGTGTTATTCTAGACAGCGAAGGTGAAGGTCAGTTCTTTGAGATTGGCCATTTGGGCAGTAGCTGAACTATGTCAGGGGGACCATCTCGTCCCCCCACCATTACCTGGAATCCCTTGTATTTGATGAGCTCCTTCAGTCGGTCAACAATGAAGAGAAACCCGTCATCATCAACATAGCCAACATCACCTGTTGAGAAGGCAGATAAGTATATGGACAAACATGACAAAGAGATTTGTGCATTAAATATACACGGTTTGTGTAACTCAATGCACGAATAGATACTTTCAAAAATAACTTCCGAGAAGTCCTTGAGTGAGTGAATCTTGTATTGTGACAGTGGCGTTCCACCGACATCAAAAGGCCTCTATGAATTCATGGATAATTTGGCAGTATTCCGCCTATAGGTCGTTGCTTTCATCAGGACACTAGAGGGAAACATTCTGGGGAAACATATACTCCCTCATACTGTATTTGACCAGGTGAGATTTGTGCTATTCCCTCATTCTCGCGCCAAACAGCTTCAGTTGCATTCGTAGGTTCAAGAATTAGAGGACGATACAATATTTTCAGTGGTGTCGCGAAAGAGTAAACCAATGTTTTGAATATTTGACCGGGCATTTTTGAATATGAAGGCCATAGTTCCTGACTTCGTATAGGGAGTAAGGAGTGAAGTATCAAGTATGGGAGCCTACGGGGTCGTACTATAGAAACCCACGATTGAAATGTATTTGACCAAGATTTTTGACACATACTATAACGAAACGCACGAGTATATTGTTCAATCTGACGCAGAAAATCACGAAATGTTAAAAATTTATACTTGAAAATTGTTTTCTTCATGAAAGAATGATATTTTTGAAAATATGATTAACTATTGTTGTCACTATAATTCGCTACCTGTCTTCATCCACCCATCCTCGGTAATCATGGCCCTCGTGGCAACAGGGTTCGACAGGTACCCTTTCATCAAGCTTGGTCCTCGTACATATAGCTCACCCTCTCTGTTTGCGGGTAGGTCCTTGCCGGTCTCCAGGTCGACTATCTGTGAAATGTACATGTGAATACTGTTTGCACCGTAGTCGGCAACATTACAACTATATGTCTGTAGTCTGTAGTGATCGAATCCCGGCATGGTAAAACAGCGATAGACAACTTAAGAAACGATCCACGTCTTCGGGGCACGATTGTACAAGATCAACCATGACGTTAGGGATATCACGCCGCTGGGCATGAGTACACAGTATCGACCACGCCTTGGGCAGGACTGCACACTATCGACCACGCCCTTGGACACGATTAAACACTATCGACCACGCCCTTGGCACGATTGCACACGATCAACTCCACGATGGGCACGGTTGCACACTATCGACCAAGCCCTTGGCATGATTGCACACGATCAACCACGCCGATTGCACACTATCGACCACGCCCTTAGGCACGATTGCACACTATCGACCACGCCGATGGACACAAATACACAGTATTGACCACGCCCTTGAGCACGACTGTACGCGGCCCTTCCCGCCCTTGGGCACGAAGCCTCTGCTCTTATGGGTTATGACATTATAATCATCTTAGTACTAAACATGGAGTATTATATATAACAGAGACGCGAACAGCCTGCAGTGTTCAGGGCGTGTACTGTATTAGACATGTCTGCCCTACCTTACACTCAGCTCCTGCAATAGCAATCCCCACCGATCCGAACCTGTGCTTCTCATCCAGTGACAAGTGAGTCACCAAACATTCTGTCATTCCGAAGCCTGAAAGTAACATTGTAAAACACATATTAAAACTAATCATCTGTATCAGCTATGTTAACCACCTGACGGACCACTTGTTTGTGCAGAACGCTATGAACATAAATGTGATAAATCATTGTTTATCTATTTATTAATCATTTATTTCAAAGCATTGTACAAAGTGACCTGAATAATAGGGTCAACGAATGAAAGGTTCTTGGTTTTATGTTTATAGATTTATAGTTTTCTGTTTTTCTAAGAACAAAAGCCGCCCAACTATTCTAATTGAAATGGAATATTACCCAATATTACCCTGTGTTACATGCTTGATGTTGAATATCTTTAGAATCTTCCCTTCGATGTCCTGACTGAGGGGCGCTGCTCCACAGATGACTCGGTGGACACTACTCAGGTCATACTGTCTTGCAGCAGGCAGGGTGGTCAGCAGAACCATCACCGGGGGCACCAGGTGCAGCACGGTTGCCTAGGAAACAGTACTGTCACCTTATATCGACGTATATAGGAGTAAGGTGAGGTGAGGTGAAAGTGGTTTTTACGTCGTGCTTGAGAATATTTCGCTCATATGACGACGTGCATGCGTGTGTATGTGTATGTGCGGATGCTTGTACTAGCCCAGACTGAAGCTGGTTTTATAGTGCTAGCCCACTGAGATACCATGCCGCAGTGAAGCATGAATACCCCACTCAGACACAGTATACTGACTCCGAGCCGACCAGTCCTTGTTGTACCCATTAATGCCGAGCGCCAGGCAGGGACCAACAAGTACATTATTTTAACGTCTTTTGGTATGACGCGATCGGGGATCGAACCCTCGACCTTCCGCTCTCCGGGCGGACGCTCTAACCACTACACCACGGAGGCGGTCGTATATAGGAGTAAAGGATACATGGAATCATATTTGTTTAAGAAGCCATACGCATCTTGGTAGCAAAGTTTGTTCCTTATGTGAGATAATCGTAATATATTTCACAATATGGCGTCCAACTGGTGTTCTGATCAGCTATGGCTGCAAAAATCATCTGTATATTACCAGATTTATGCCATGAAAGGTTTTAAGGAGTCGGTAGGTTGTGTCTGAATATACAAATTATGTCGTTTCAGAAGACGCTAATGCTCACAAGATGCCATCACATTGAGGTTAATATTAAAAGTGTAATCTTCCGGAATCAAGGATGAAGGTGTTATTTGTATTGATGACGTGGTCGGTGTACCGTGTCGGCGTGAACCTGACATGATCTAACAATATTCTTAATGAACGGGTAGTGTTAAGCATATGAATACATGACGTTATATGGATAACAACTTCTTTTTTAATCTTTGATATTTGTATTCTTCTTGCTTCTCTAGTATAGTTATGGAGTGAAGAACAGTCCTGAAAGCTAAAACGTAGATCATTTCAGATATTTACAGAATTACTCAACACCTGTTTTAAAATAACAAAATAATTTGGAAACATCAATGAATGTTTTTGCATCATTAATCAAAACATGAAATGTGGTGATGGGTTGTTTGTACAACTGGCGGCAGACCATCAGCAGGGCCGCAAGTCACAATATTTCAACCATTGTTGGTTGGGCTTACGTTCAAAAGTTGAAACATCTGAGAACAAGCATTGTCACTAAGGTGACATAATCCCCCGCCGCAAATTATCAAATCAAACTTATAAAGTAATGAAAGTTTAAGATGAAGGTAAATGTCAACAAAAACATGACCAGTCAACCTCTCTTGATATCTTGCTCTGTAGTTGTTCAAACACACACATATTTTCAAGACTGATTTTGACCTTGACATGAATGTCATAGTGTATGAAATATGCAGCAATAGTACTAAAGACATTGCTTATTGAAAAACATGCAAGGGAAGTCTTGAAAGTCTATGAAGAACATTCAGTGAAACTTTCTTGACATATCTTGCTGACAATTCAGGTTAACATGCTGAAATCTTCAAAGTGTCGTCGTGACCCTGATAATTATGTGAAGGTCACCAAAATTTACTGAGCCCTGCGCCTTCCCTAGATAAAGCTTTCATATGTAATGTGAAGAAAATCCAGTGAACGGTTCTTGAGATAGCTTAACATGCAGGTAAAACGTTAAAGTCCCCTTGTGACCTTGAAATGAAGGTCAAGGTCACCAAACCTGACTTGGCCCTTTCGTATACTGTGATGAAACTAGGTACCAAATATGAAAAGAATCTAGTCAACGGTTCTTAAGATATTCCAATTCGTACTTACGGACGGACGGAGCCTAAAACTATATCCCCCGCCGCGCTTTTAGCGCGAAGCTAGGGATATATATGAAAAGGCTCCTAGTCCGTCCGTATAAAAATATATGAGGTACTTTGCGTGACAAAATATATATAAAAATATATGAGGTACTTTGTGTGACACACAAAAACAATATAATGGGGCATCTTTGGCAGAGAGCTGAAGACACTGGCACCACCAATCTCACCCAACATTATTTGGATATATGTAGGATTTATCATGAGTGTTAAATATGTAAATAGAATATCTGATATAATTTTGACAGCAGCACTGTGCTTGGTGAATCAGTTTCTCAGATGCAGGATAACGATTTTGCAACATCTCCAATGGCGAAATATGAGTAGAGATAGTGGCGCCTGATAATGGCCTACATAACGGCACTGTTTATAACAAGAATAGTTGTCAGTACTGAGAAGACGCCGAGCAACCAGAAATGGGCGGGAACACCAGAAATGGGCTTCACACATTGTATTCATGAGGGGAATCAAACCCGGGTCTTTGCCGTGACGAGCGAACGCTTTAACCACTAGGCTACCCCACCGCCCAGCCGGATCGGAAATCGACCGAAAACGGACAACTCTTTATGGCTCAACGGACAATTCGCTATGGCTCCGTTCCATAAAGCAGTCTTAGCGCTACGACTATCGTAGGGTCATGTTGAATTATGTAGTGCAAGATACAGCCCCTTGCACAGTTACACTCACCCTGTGTTCCTGTATGTTGCGCAGGTACTCGTGGATCTCGAACCTGGACATGACCACGTTCTTGGCCCCGCTGTACAAGCCGGCGGAGATGATAGGACCAAGTCCATAGATGTGGAAGAAGGGTAGGAACGTCACGTAGGAGTCTTTGTCAGTCAGGTTTCCCGGCTCCCTGGTGGAACAAGCAGATTACTCCGAAATGTAACGATTAGAGACATATAAAGGTTCATACCAAGTACATGTATAAGAACAAAGATGATTTCTGATGACAAACGCACTATGCGGGCACGCTTGCATAGGGGATCCAGTGTGGGTGTGTGTGTGTGAAAGTTTATTAAATGACCATTGTCTCGTGAAATGAAGTGGGCACACTCCACACATACAAACACACACACACACACACACACACACAAAGCTTTGTCTGAAAACACATCAACACACACCCTTTGTCCTGAAAGTTTATTAGGTGAGGTGAGGTGAGATTGGGTTTAACGTCGTGCTTGAGAATATTTCGCTCATATGACGACGTGCATGCGTGTGTATGTGTATATGCGGCTGCTTGTACTAGCCCAGACTGAAGCTGGTTTATAGTGCTAGCCCACTGAGATACCATGCCGCAGTGAAGCATGAATACCCCACTCAGACACATTATACTGACTCCGAGCCGACCAGTCCTTGTTGTACCTATTAATGCCGAGCGCCAGGCAGGGACCAACAAGTACCATATGTTAACGTCTTTTGGTATGACGCGGCAGCGGGGATCATTTCCTTTCCGCGACCTTCGTCCTCCAGGCGGACGCGTCACCACTTCACCACGGAGGCGGTCGAAAGTTTATTAAATGACAATTGAAACTCTCGTGAAAATGAAGTGTGCACCCCTCCTTTCTCAACTTTGAGAGATTTCACTGAGTGAGTATAGCTTTACGCCGCACTCAGCAATATTCCAGCTATATGGCGGCGGTCTAAATAATCGAGTCTGGACCAGGCAATCCAGGGATCAACAGCATGAACATCAATCTGCGCAACTGGGACACGATGACATGTGTCAACCCAGTCAGCGAGCCTGACCACCCGATCCCGTTAGTCGCCTCTTACGACAAGCATGGGTTACTGAAGATCAATTCTAACCCGGACCTTCACGGGTTGAGAGATTTCAAGTTCACAGAGTATATTTACTACCACTTCTCTGTAACCTGTCTTACAGACCCTGAAACAGATATAGGCTACCCAGCGTAGCCCATACAAGTCTAGAATGTGTGGAAAGTCTAGATTACCACAGTTTCTGAAAATGAAGAAAGTCTCTGGGTTCCTTTTAATTATATTTTGTTAACATTATTTTCTTTCTGTAAAATATGTTCATTTCAGAGTCTAACTGCTCTTGAGCCCATCCCAGTGAAAGTCGACGACAGATGCGAACAAGCTGACCATGACCTAAGCTCACGTGACTTTCAGTCTGATGTGGCAACAAAACAAGGCCGGTTACGTGACCATGTGGGGATTCGTTGAGTTCAACATTCATCACCGCGGCACAGTTTCCCATCTGTATGGGAGGGATGATATTGTCTAACTTGTTGACAATGTAATAGAGTTACAAAAGGAATTCCTTATTTTGGAAGTACTCCGTAGTAAAAGGGTGGCACTACGAACCCATCAAACATAACTGTACACTTGGCATTATACCGAGTTCCTGACAGTCATATTCGTTTGATGCTTACAGTAAAAAGAATTCGAACATAGCGGCTGAAGTAGTCTGTCTCACAGTCCCTGAACCACATTACTTGTATTTTCCCTACATGAAGCCCTCAATAAAGCAAGTCTAGATATCCTCAGGTTCAGGTTCTGAATTTCCAATCTCACTGGGGCGCCTTTTCAATATAAATGGGAGTATTTGTAACTATCAAAGTTATGTATATTCAGACTAAGCGTTAGTCTGCGGATGGAACTAAAGGCACCAGAAATAGATCATACCGCTTCAAGTTATATCTAATGGTTTATTATATAGAGTTGAATTGTTTAAGAAATTGACCTAAAAATAACATTAAAAAACATCGAAAATCAGACATCAACAACCAAACAAATGTTCCAAAGTTGATGCAACGTAACACCAAGCACCATCCCCTCAGTTGGGGGCCACATTTCATAAACATGTAGAATTGTTGCCATTGACACTGTAAACTGAAAATTAATTCTACTTGTGAAATTGTTTATTTCAATAAGTGAGTGAGTGAGTGACTATGGTTTTACGCCGCTTTTAGCAATATTCGAGGGATACCAGAAATCGGCTTTGCACACTGAACCCATGACACTTAACCATTAGGCTACCCCATTGCCCCTTATTTCAATGAATGTGAATTTCCGCAAGTTGTAAGTAAATGTCAGCGGGTGTGTAGATGAAATTTAGTACTCTTAACATCAAAGCTACTGTTTCACCCACGCACGCACGCACACACACAGACACAAGAACGGATAGGTGTGAGGTCGTGCGTGCGTGGGCGCGTGCGAGTCAGTGTCGTGTGAAAAGGTCGGTAGCTTGTATACGAAAACAGAGGCCAAATTATTAAGAAATCTAAAGTGCCCCATTTAGCGTGTTGTTGTGTTAGTAACTGAACGCACACAAATAAACAGATAACATACAGTATAATACATACAATGTTTGTAGCACGTTGGACGTCATTGCATAGTGGCATATCTGCACCGCTTTTGGTTTTCCGGTCGTGCCACTAGAAAATAAGATTGCCGTGACGTCGTTCTTCGGGTCGATGCCTCGGTCGCTGATTGGTGCATCGGAAATATCGGACGTGATGAGAGAGGAGAAACTGACACACCCTTCAGCCTTACCCAGCACGATAACCTTCTGAAATGTACAAGTTACAGACATCTGTATGTATGTTATGACCTTCATTGATTGATTGGTTGTTGTTTAACGCCGCACTTAGCAATATTTTAGCTATATGGCGGTGGTATGTAAATAATCGAGTCTGGACCAGACAATCCAGTGATCAACAGCATAAGCACCGTACATGTGTCAAACAAGTCAGCGAGCCTGACCACCTGATCCCGTTTGTCGCCTCTCACGACAAGCACGGGGTACTGAAGATCAATTCTACCCTGGATCTTCAAGGGTCTTTGATAACCTTGAGTGAGTGAGTGAGTGAGTGAGTGAGTGAGTGGTATCTGTTTTAATGCATCACATCAAATTTGTAGTGAAGCTTTTCATGGACATACAGCCTAAACATATATATGCCATACCTGTAATGTATGGGAATAGTCAGCTTATACTCTAAACCTACCAAGTGATTTCACATGGGGCAGCTCAATAATATATGCTGGTGAAGGACAGGTGACCTTCTAACCCCTCTCACCTGGATGGTGTGACCCTGGGCCTGTTTGACAACTGGCAGCATGTCCGGTAGGGTCAGAAGGAACTTGCTCTTACAGATGTCGAAGGTGTGTTTGAGTTCATCTGGAGAAACACATAAAGAGTGAGTTGGATTTATGCTTCACAGTATGTCAGTTTGTGGGTGTGTTTTTGGTGTTTTTGTTGTTGTTGTTTTGTTGTTATGTTTGTTTGTATGAGTTTTTTGTTTGCTTTTGATTGTTTTTTGTTTTTTTTGGATTGTTGTTGTTTGTTGGGTTTTTTGTTTTTGGTTGTTTTGTTTTTTTGTTTGTTTTGTTTGTTTGTTTTGTTGTTGTTGTTGTTTTTGGGGGTTTGTTGGGGTTTGTTTTTTGTTTGTTGTTGTTTGTTTTTGTTTTTTTTTTTTTGGGGCTGGGAGGCGTAATAAAGACGAACACTGGTGATGAGAAACAAAGGATCACAATAAGGGGAAACGGGATTTGAACACAAGATCACTGGATCCTGGCAGACCTAAGAAAGGCAACTGGGCGACCTGGGCCCTCGGATACATAAATCAATTTAGAGCTCAACCTGAATAATTGAACCTACCAGTATATTTGTGACGCGAGTGACTCCACGCTATGTCTGCAACCATCCAAATGGATTACTAGGCCTTGTCTGTGAACAAAGCACAGTCACCTTTCTGACTTTTATTTTTTGTTTGGTTGCACTGAAACTCTGCCGGGTCCTTAGGATTACGGGGAACGGGGATTGTGTTTGTGTGTCTATTTCGGTCTACTTTGTGTTCATATCCCATAGTTTGGTAGTTCCCTGCTGTTTTTCTTAGACTTTAGCACACAGGGGTTCGAATCATTGTTTGGACAATAATTTTTTAAAATAAAAATCTAGATTTTTGCAACCGTATATAGTTTTTATATGTTATGAGTAACTTATATTTCAAATTTGAACGAAATCGGTGAAGAAATGGATTTTTTAGAAAATTCTCCCGCTGCACTCATTACATGTTTTGAGAATTTTCTAAAAATTCCATTTCTTCACCGATTTCGTTCAAATTTGAAATACAAGTTACTCATAACATATAAAAACAATATACGGTTGCAAAAATCTAGATTTTTATTTTTATAAATTATTGTCCAAACAGTGATTCGAACCCCTGTGCTTTAGCAGGCCTATGTCAGTCACCCAATCCTTTAGATCAACGGAGAAAAAATGAACCTCTTGACCTTTGACTGTTGACCCCTGTGAATATTCATGACTGGCATGGTTCATTACATTCCAGGGGTAATGAAGGTGTAACCCGTGGAACTCAGCATGCAAGGCACTGATCATTGTCGGTATTCATTTGAAAGAGTCTGATATTTAAACTAACAACTAGTCTCTGAAATGAACATATTTTACAGAAAAAAACAGTTCATAATACCAAACATATATTAAAAAGGAGCCCTGAGACTTTCTTCATTTTCAAACTGTGGAAATCTAGACTTGCCACATATTCTACACTTGCATGGGTTTTCTTGGATATGTTTGTTTCAGGGTCTGTATGACGGACTTTACAGCGATTCTTGTGTATGAGTGACTGACAATACACGCGTAGAAGCAGATAAACGTTGTCCTGTGGCAATTTTCAACTTTTTTCATTAATTTAACTCGGCTGTGGTTTGCGATATGCCCAATAAAACATTGATCTGAATCTCTTACCTGCATTGTAGAGCGGGTTGGTCGCTTGTAGTACACCACCAAGGGAGGCAACTGCGTAGAACACGATTGGATATTCGATGACATTCGGGGAGAAGATACAGAGAACGTCGCCTCTCTTGAATCCGAGGTTACTAAGCCCACGTGCCAGACGTCGGATAGTGGCCGAGAGCTCGCGGTACGACATGGAACGGCCAGTGTTCGAGTCGACCTGAGAAAGCGTGTTAATATGATCATGGAAGCACTTGATAGTATTATACATTTCTCAGTATAACACGTTGTATTTAGGATTACAGTTTCTCGGTAAAGCACAGATTCTAGTACTTTTGGGGGTTAGGTCCAATCCTCTCAGAGTCACGCACCTTATCGGCTAAATTCAGCAATCTAACCCACTCAGCCACCACAAAATGATAGTCTGGATCACGATCTTTGTGTACCCTTCTGACAAGTGTAAACCGGGACTGATCCCGCGACCGAAAGCTATGAATACACACAATACCATTTAGTGATCATATTTCATGTTATATTTGGGACGAAGAACTATTATCTCTTCATTACTGAGAAAGTGTAATCGAAAGTCTAACAGCAGAGCTACAGATAACATTTTGGGTCATTGAGTTATGTACTCGCTTATGTTCATCTCAATTAGGTATCATAATATCCTTTGAGAAACCAAATAAATTTTGTACTCAACTCACTCAAACTCAACTGGGAATTTTGCCATTTTCAATTAATTGTAAAAATATAATAAAGCTTAAGTGTTGATTTACGTTTTTGTTACGATATTTGATCTGTAATATGAGAAACGATAAGAAAGACTGCAAGTTGACAAGTTCATGTAATAAAATAGAACCTCTCAATATACCTCAGTTATTTTATCTGTCCTCAGTAACCTCCATCTGTAGCACATGGGTCTGCTTATTCCAAATTCTAGTAGGTTTAGTGACAAGAACTAATTCACCGGTACGAAAGCTAAGATTTTACATGTTTGTGTGTAAGCATGTAAGATCAAATTTATTGAGTATTTACAAAAATTCAAGCGTACTTGTACCGATGGACGTAACAGAATTGAGTTTTCACATAAATATTTGCGTAATTTACACACATACGCAGCTTCTCTGTACCTCTGAATGATATGTCTTCAGGAGAAGTGAAATTTAATATCGACAATTTCAGGAAGTCGTATATATTTGGTATAATTGTGCGTTGTTAGTGAGGCTAATTGTGTTCTTCCAAAAAGCATTCCTAATTTTCTTGGCCATACACAGAAATTATTTATTTTATTATTTTCAGAATTGAGAAGACCTGTGTCCCCATATGGATATTATGAAAACTTTGCCACATTTTGCAACAGACCTTGAGAGGATTGGAGATTTATCCATTAGATTTTCATATACTTATTAAAATTGACATGGTCATGGTACGACCTGTTTTGGGGTAATCATTTAACATCATTATTATCCTGTTGTTAGCGCGCTTGCCATACTATATAAAGAACACTGTATTTAGACGCTTTAAATTAGGACAGACATGACAATATTTGTTTCAAAGATTAGTACATACTAGACTAACGCTTAGTCCCTGAATATATATAAATTTGATAGTAACAAATAAACCCATTTAAATTGAAAAGGAGCCCCAGTGAGTTGGGAGATTTAACCTGGGGAAATCTATCCTTGCTTCAGTTAGGGCTTTAGTATTGCAGAGAGGGCTAGGTATTAGGGAAAATAATGTGGTTCAGAGACTGTGAGACAGGCTAAAAGTACGTACCAACAGTACATGGAATTGGTTTCGTTAGTTTCCTGTATTATATTGCGAACATACAAGTCATTCAACGTCATATATCTGTGATTTTTTAAATCATATAAACCAAATCTTAATTTACATAACCATCGTATCAATTATTTATCTTGTAATTTCATACTGTAAACAAAGTCTGAAGTTTTGAATAATGTGTTCTGTAGGTTGAAGTATTTATAAACGTTGTTCACTCAAGCATGAACAAATCTTTGTGTGAGTGAGTGAGTGAGTATGGTTTTACGCCGCTTTTAGCAATATTCCAGCAATATCACGGCGGGGAACACCAGAAATGGGCTTCACACATTGTATTCATGTGGGGAATCAAAGGCGGATTTTCGGCGTGACGAGCTAACGCTTTAACCACTAGGCTACCCCAACGCCCCACACATCTTAGACGTTGTTTGAATTGAGTTGCGTTGCAATATGCATTGCCAAATTCTTGCGATACCTAAACGTTAGAATATCTAGTTGAGAAAACATCTGACGCCCAGCTTTCCAATGGTATCGTGTAAACTTATCAGCTGGTAGAAATCTGATAATGGAGGCAATACACAGGATCGTGGCTGCTACGCACGCACGCACGCACGCACGCACGCACGCACACGCACACGCACACACACACACACACACGCTTGGGCACAGAACAATGAACATTTTCAGTAGACTAAGGCTTAGTCTCTGAACATATATAATTTGATAGTAACAAATAAACCCATTTATACTGAAAAGGAGTCCCAGGGCACAGACTCAGAACCTGGGGAAATCTAGGCTTGCTTTATTTAGGGCTTTAGCATTGCAGGAAAGGCAGGGCTATAGGCACAATAATATGGTTCAGGGACTGTGAGACAGACTAGATTTTCAGTTACTAACGGACGGACCACAAGGATGAGCCCGACCACTGAGATACGCCAGTTTAACACTGACAGTAACGAGAGATCTAGAAAATCCATATAGGTCAACAGCCGCTGCTGTAGATAGGGGGAAAGGAGGTCGACTCGAACGCGACAAGTGTCGAATTTACTCACCAAGGCAACCTTTTCTCCAAGCTGATCGAACCTTTCCGTCATGAATGTCCCCAAAGAAACACATGGCAGATGTAAAGGCTTGCCTTTCCACAACATGTTCGCACGCTCACTCCTAACCGGTCTCAAACGGGGGTCAAGGTTACAATCGTCCTTTCAAAGCTTATGCTTTGAGGTATATCTCGGCCGACACACAGACTGACGCGGTGAATGGTTTCACCAGACTGATACACAGTTATGTAATAACCAAGCTGTTTCATGTGAAAATATAAAGCTCCTGTTCGATGTATTGGGCAGGCTTGTCCCGTATCCAGGCCTTGTTGTGTTTATCGCAGTTTATCATGTAACTTGACGCACGGGTAAACCGATTGTTTTCATAGGGGGTTGTGATAGTGTGCGAGGCGGTATTATCGTCGTCTCCACTTCCTGGTCCGCATTATTTTCCCTTCTGCCCAGTTCTCCCTGCAATTGCTAAAACCCTAAATGAAGCAAGTCTAGATTTCCTCAGGTTCTGAATCCCCCATCTTACTGAGCCTCCTTTTCAATGTAAATGGGATTAAGAGAAACACTTTTATACAAACTTCTAAATGCAACATAAGGAAGTTAAATGGAATTATTTGTTTCTGTCAATAATATATGTATTCAGAGACTAAGCGTTAGTCTTGTGTTATTGGTGAGGCAGTTTAATGGAATCAAAATTAACTGTATATTCATTAGACATTAACATTACATGTTAATGATCTGAAAGAACAATTAATCTTGTGTTTATCTACATTGTAAAATACAAAGCTAGGTTCATTGCTCCCTAACTTTACAGTTACATGATTCGGATTGATCAACTCAAATCGAAGCTCAGGTCGAAACCGAGTATAACATGTTAAATATTCCGATGGCCTTTATCTACAGTAGATGCTCAGCCCGTTTACCTCCTATTCATTCATACACAGTGAATAATTTCAACGGTTCGCTCCCATTATAACTACTCCCAATTTGACTTCCCGTTCAATACACAATCTGTTCCAGTTATATGTTTATTTAATTACCAGCTCTCTCCCCTCTATCAGCTGGTACACTGTTCCACCATGACGATATATTAAAAAACCCAATTAAAACAACATTTCAATCAGACTGCATCACACATAACATTTGCGTTGAACCTTTTTGCACATTTGTACAACCAATAACGCTCATCATGACAAGCCTGAGATACGCCAGCACTTGACTGAATATGTGGGGTTACGTTCGTTGTACCGAGATAACAGGGCCAGGACTTTGACCTGTTTAGTAACTGTACAGAAACGCTGGCTAATCTAAGTAGGTCTCATTTACCATTTTACCATTGAGAGTGACTGCATCCGTTTAGTGTCCATCAACTATACAGTGTCATTCGCTAGGTATTGTCTGCATCCGTTTGGTGTCCATAAACCATAGTTGTGTCATTCCCTAGGTAGTGTCTGCATCCATATAGTGTCCACAAATCACACACTGTCCATCCCATAGGTAGTGTCTGCATCCATATAGTGTCCATAAACCATAGTTGTATCATTCCATAGGTAGTGTCTGCATCCATATAGTGTCCATAAACCATAGTTGTGTCATTCCCTAGGTAGTGTCTGCATCCGTTTAGTGTCCATAAACCATAGTTGTTGCATTCCCTAGGTAGTCTCTGCATCCGTTTGGTGTCCATAAACCATAGTTGTTGCATTCCCATCCGTTTGGTGTCCATAAAAACAGTTGTTCATTCCCTAGGTAGTGTCTGCATCCGTTTGGTGTCCATAAACCATAGTTGTCTGCATTCCTAGGTAGTGTCTGCATCCATATAGTGTCCATAAACCATAGTTGTATCATTCCCTAGGTAATGTCTGAATCCGTTTAGTGTCCATAAATCACACACTGTCCATCCCATAGGTTGTCTCTGCATCCGTTTGGTGTCCATAAACCATAGTTGTTGCATTCCCTAGGTAGTGTCTGCATCCGTTTGGTGTCCATAAACCATAGTTGTTGCATTGCCTAGGTAGTATCTGCATCCATATAGTGTCCATAAAACATAGTTGTATCATTCCCTAGGTAGTGTCTGCATCCGTTTAGTGTCCATAAACCATAGTTGTTCCATTCCCTAGGTAGTGTCTGCATCCGTTTGGTGTCCATAAACCATAGTTGTGTCATTCCCTAGGTAGTGTCTGCATCCATATAGTGTCCATAAACCATAGTTGTGTCATTCCCTAGGTAGTGTCTGCATCCATATAGTGTCCATAAACCATAGTTGTGTCATTCCCTAGGTAGTGTCTGCATCCGTTTGGTGTCCATAAACCATAGGTCCATTCCCTAGGTAGTCTCTGCATCCGTTTGGTGTCCATAAACCATAGTTGTTCCATTCCCTAGGTAGTGTCTGCATCCGTTTGGTGTCCATAAACCATAGTTGTTCCATTCCCTAGGTAGTGTCTGCATCCGTTTGGTGTCCATAAACCATAGTTGTTGCATTCCCTAGGTAGTGTCTGCATCCATATAGTGTCCATAAACCATAGTTGTATCATTCCCTAGGTAATGTCTGAATCCGTTTAGTGTCCATAAATCACACACTGTCCATCCCATAGGTAGTCTCTGCATCCGTTTGGTGTCCATAAACCATAGTTGTTGCATTCCCTAGGTAGTGTCTGCATCCGTTTAGTGTCCATAAACCATAGTTGTTGCATTCCCTAGGTAGTGTCTGCATCCATATAGTGTCCATAAACCATAGTTGTATCATTCCCTAAATAATGTCTGAATCCGTTTAGTGTCCATAAATCACACACTGTCCATCCCATAGGTAGTCTCTGCATCCGTTTGGTGTCCATAAACCATAGTTGTTGCATTCCCTAGGTAGTGTCTCTGCATCCGTTTAGTGTCCATAAACCATAGTTGTTGCATTCCCTAGGTAGTGTCTGCATCCATATAGTGTCCATAAACCATAGTTGTATCATTCCCATTGTATCCGTTTAGTGTCCATAAATCACACAGTGTCCATCCCATAGGTAGTCTCTGCATCCGTTTGGTGTCCATAAACCATAGTTGTTGCATTCCTAGGTAGTGTATCCGTTTGGTGTCCATAAACCATAGTTGTTCCATTCCCTAGGTAATCCGTTTAGTGTCCATAAATCACACAGTGTTGATCCCACAGTGTTGATCCCATAGGTAGTCTCTGCATCCGTTTGGTGTCCATAAACCATAGTTGTGCCATTCCCTAGGTAGTGTCTGCATCCGTTTAGTGTCCATAAACCATAGTTGTTGCATTCCCTAGGTAGTGTCTGCATCCGTTTAGTGTCCATGAACCAAAGTTGTGTCATTCCCTAGGTAGTGTCTGTACCCGTTTAGTGTCCATAAATCACACAGTGTTGATCACATAGGTAGTGTATGTACCTGTTTAGTGTCCATAAACCATACAGTGTCCTTTCCCTAGGTAGTGTCTGCATCCGTTTAGTGTCCATAAACCAAAGTTGTGTCATTCCCTAGGTAGTGTCTGCATCCGTTTAGTGTCCATAAACCATACAGTGTCCATTCCCTAGGTGATGCGAGGTGAAATTGGGTTTAACGTCGTGCTTGAGAATATTTCGCTCATATGACGACGTGCATGCGTGTGTATGTGTATGTGAGGCTGCTTGTACTAGCCCAGGCTGAAGCTGGTTTTATAGTGCTAGCCCACTGAGATACCATGCCGCAGTGAAGCATGAATACCCCACTCAGACACATTATACTGACTCCGAGCCGACCAGTCCTTGTTGTACCCATTGATGCCGAGCGCCAGGCAGGGACCAACAAGTACCATATTTTAACGTCTTTTGGTGTGACGCGGTCGGGGATCGAACCCGCGACCTTCCACTCTCCGGGCGGACGCTCTAACCACTACACCACAGAGGCGGTCCCATTCCCTAGGTAGTGTCTGCATCCGTTTAGTGTCCATAAACCATACAGTGTCATTCCCTAGGTAGTGTCTGTACCCGTTTAGAGTCCGTAAACCAAACAGTGTCCTGTAGTGTCTGCATCCGTTTAGTGCCCATAAACTGTAGAGTGTCATTCCCTAGGTAGTGTCTGCATCTGTTTAGTGTCCATAAACCATAGTTGTGTCATTCCTTAGGTAGTGTCCAAATCCGTTGTTGTGCCCATATCCATGTTGTGTCTGCATCCATTGTAGTGTCTGTATCCATCGTAGTGTCTGCCTCCACTGTAGTGTCTATTCCCAATAAAGTTTCCATATCATATGTTGTCTATTCCCCATGTAATGTCTTTCTCAATGTAGAATCTACTCCTCATGTAGTGTTGGTTCAACGTGTAGTGTAGTGTCTATTCCTCATGTAGTGTAGTGTCTATTCCTCACGTAGTGTAGTGTCTATTCCCTATGTAGTGTCTATTCCTCATGTAGTGTAGTGTCTTTTTCCCATGTATTCCTCATGTGTGTAGTGTCTATTCATCTAGTGTCTCATGTAGTGTAGTGTCTAGTGTCCTCCCATGTAGTGTAGTGTCTATTCCTCATGTGTAGTGTATTTGTAGTGTATTCTATTCCTCATGTATGTAGTGTCTATTATTCCTCATGTAGTGTAGAGTGTCTATTCCCCACGTAGTGTAGTGTCTATTCCCCATGTAGTGTCTATTCCTCATGTAGTGTAGTGTCTATTTCCCATGTAGTGTCTATTCCTCATGTAGTGTAGTGTCTATTTCCCATGTAGTGTCTATTCCCCTATATGTAGTGTAGTGTCTATTCCTCATGTAGTGTAGTGTCTATTCCCCATGTAGTGTCTATTCCTCATGTAGTGTAGTGTCTATTTCTCATAGAGTGTAGTGTCTATTCCTCATGTAGTGTAGTGTCTATTCCCCATGTAGTGTCTATTCCTCATGTAGTGTAGTGTCTATTCCCATGTAGTGTGTCTATTCCTCATGTAGTGTAGTGTCTATTCCTCATGTAGTGTAGTGTCTATTCCTATGTGTAGTGTAGTGTCCTATTCCCCATGTATGTGTCTATTCCTCATGTAGTGTAGTGTCTATTCCCCATGTAGCATCTATTCCTCATGTAGTGTAGTGTCTATTCCTCCAGTGTAGTGTATGTAGTGTAGTGTCTAGTGTCTATTCCTCATGTAGTGTAGTGTCTATTCCCCATGTATGCAGTGTCTATTCCTCATGTCATGTGGTGTAGTGTCTATTCCCCATGTAGTGTCTATTCCTCATGTAGTGTAGTGTAGTGTCTATTCCCCATGTGTGTCTATTCCCTCATGTATTCCCTCATGTAGTGTCTATTCCTCATGTAGTGTAGTGTCTATTCCTAGTGTCTATTCCTCATGTAGTGTAGTGTCTATTTCCCATGTAGTGTGTAGTGTC